TAGTCCGATTGCATGGAGTACCGGTATCGATCACTTCGGACCGTGATCCCCGGTTTACTGCGAATTTTTGGAAAAGTCTGCAATTGGCCATGGGGACTAAGTTGTAATTCAGTACGGCCTATCATCCTCAGACGGACGGTCAGTCTGAAAGGACGATTCAGACATTGGAAGACATGCTGCGAGCATGTGTTTTGGATTTTAAAGGTGGTTGGGAGGAACAGCTGCATTTGGTCGAATTCGCCTACAATAACAGCTTTCAGCAGAGTATTGGGATGGCGCCGTTTGAAGCACTTTATGGCAGAGCGTGTAGAACACCGTTGTGTTGGGATGAAGTGGGGGAAAGAAGTATAACGGGTCCAGAGTTAGTTCAACAGTCGGTAGAAACAGTAAAGATTATTCGGGAGAGGCTAAGAACAGCTCAGAGCCGTCAGAAAAGTTACGCAGACCGAAGGCGTAGACCGTTGGAGTTTCGAGTTGGCGACCATGTGTTTCTTAAGGTCTCGCCGATGAGAGGACTATCTCGGTTTGGCAAGAAAGGGAAACTAAGTCCAAGGTATATAGGCCCATTCGAGATTTTGGAAAGGATTGGGATGTTGGCATATCGTCTCGCCTTGCCGCCGAATTTGTCACAAGTTCATAACGTCTTCCACGTGTCAATGTTAAGAAAGTATGAATCGGACCCGACCCACGTGCTGAACTACGAGGAAATAGACGTGGACGACAGAGTGTCGTACGTGGAAAAGCCAGTTTGGATCGAGGACAGAATGGAGCGAGTGTTGCGGAACAAGACAATTCCGATGGTTAAAGTGATTTGGGAACACCATGGAACCGAAGGTGCGACGTGGGAAAGTGAAGAGTTGATGCGACACCAGTACCCCCATTTGTTTGAATAGTTGGGTTGGATTGTAAATTTCGAGGACGAAATTTTTGTAAGGGGGGAAGAGTTGTGACATTCCGAATTTCGGCCCATAGTTGGGATTTATAAAACGTGTAATTCGTCAGTGTGCTTATAGTAAAATCTCGCCCGGGAACTGATCACTCTCGGTTATTGTTTTAAAATTGAGATTTCGCTAGAATCGCGCTCGATCGAATTTGGCCGTTATTTAGACCCCGAACTTGGCAGTCGATTTTCGGGAGTTTCAGGACGAAATAAATTGGACGGTGTCAATATTATCATAGCCAGCGTTGAGATTGTCAGGAATAATGGAAAAAGTGGATTTTTGACCGGGTGCGAATTTGGACTAGTACACCTCCCTCGCTATAGTTTGATTTAATTAATTCGGCCTTTGTCCCTTTTTATATGCGAGACTTATTTTGGACCGGTAGATCGCTTTCGATTTTGAATTTGGGTCATCGGATCGCATTTAATATTTGATTGAAGTTAATTTTTTATTATTTTTTTTCTCTCTCCTCTCTCCTCTCTCCTCCGCGCGCACGCTCCCCCTTCTGACCGCGCATGTTCTCTCTCTCTCTCTCTCTCTCTCTCTCTCTCTCTCTCTCTCTCCCCGGTCACCCTCCCCCTTGCGTACGTTTGGCCCCCTTTGTCAGACTCATCCACTCCTCTCTCTCTCTCCTTCTTTCTCTTTTTCTTCTTCCTTCTCTCTCCTTCTTCTTCCTTCTTCCTTCTTCCTTCGTCGACCCCGACTGGTTCTGCTTTTGCCTTTGCTCGTCCGATCAGTCGCCGCCGACCGCCCTTTGCCGTCGGCCTCGCGCCACCGTCGCCCGACTGAGCCGTGACACCGCTCGTCGCCCGCGACCGCCGCTCGTTGGCCCTGTCCGCCTGTTGCCGGCTCTATCCGCGCTGCACGCGAGCAGCAGCTCGCCGCTGAGTCCGCCACGGCCCGGCATTGCCCAGCCGCCCGCCGGCCTGTCCTCTGTCGCCCGGCCACCCGTGACGCCGCCGTGCCGCCTCCGGCCGCCGCGCGCCGACGGCAGTCCCTCCCCCTGTTTCTCTCTTCCCCGGTCCCTCCCCTGTTTCGGCTCCGACCGTCCAGCCGCCGCGTCCGGCGAGTCCCAGCCGCCGGCCAGTTCGTCCGGCCGCTCGCCTAGCACCGCCGCCCAGCCAGTCGCCGCCGTGCCGCCCCATCGCCGCCGGTTTGCCCCTCTCCCTCAGCCCCGATCTCTCTCTCTTTCTGTCACCACCCCCCCTCGATTCACCTTTCCTCCCCTCCAGCTCGTCGTCGCAGCGTCGCCGTCGCCGCCGTCGTCGCCGCGTCGCCGTCGCCGCCGTGTTGCCGTCGCCGCCGTAGCCCCGGCCGACCAGCCAGCCCCGCCGGCCGCCCAGGCCGTGGCGGGCCCGTCACCCGCTCGATCAGGCCAGCTCGCCCGCTGCTCGGCCCTTGGCCCGTCCCGTTCGGCCGCTCGCTCGTGCACCCGGCGCGTTGCCTGTTCAGCCGGCTCGTCGCCGGGCACGTCGCCCGTCCCGCTCGCCCGTGTGCCCCGAGCACGCCGTTTGGTCACCGCGCCCGCGCGCCAGGCACGCCGATTGGCCACTGTGCCCGTGTTGGCCGGCCAGCGCGCCCGTTGGCCCGCGCCCGCGCCTAGTTCGGCACTATTCGCCCGGGCCATTTTGGGCCCGAGCCGATTTTCTCCGGGCCAAAATCAAGTAAGTGACCTCCTATTCCTTATTTAGGACTATGGGTATTTTTAGACTTGTTTAGGATGTGCTTGGTACCGGGTTAGGAATTAAATTAGGCATGGGCTAATTTGACTGATTGTGCTCAATTTGTGAATTATTGTGGCGGTAATTGTGTGGCTAATCTAGGGATTGACTGAGATAATTGTCGTGGCGCTTGTGGGTGAATTGGATTAATTGAATGTGTTGACTTGAATGTCGGAATCGTGAACTTGTGATTTGAAATTGGGATGATTGAGGGTGCATATTTGTGGCTATTGTGGTGAGTCAATGATTGGCTTATCGTGGCAGTTGTGAGTGGAATTGATAGCTGAATGTGACCGACTTGAAGGTCGGGTTGGTGGAATATTGTGGTGAGCATGCCTTGAATTTAATTGGTACGATTTGTGAAAATTGCGAATTGTGTTATGGTGCATGTGCATGAGAAAAGCCCGGATTGAGCGGAGGGTTGCCAACCTGAGGCGTAGTTACGCGGGTGTGGCGAGAAAGGCATGACCAGACCTGAGGCGTAGGTTATGCGGGTCAATTGAAGGGGAAAAATGTCCTGAGGCGTGGTTACGCGGGACCGAGCCCGGCTTGATCTAAGGGCTGAGCCTGAGGCGCAGTGGCGCGGGCTGTGAGATTGGGCCTGAGGCGCAGTGGCGCGGGCAGTGTGAAAGGACCTGGGAGGTCGTGGAAAGTTGTTCGGCCACGTATGCGAGTTGAGTGTGATTGAATTGATTGGACTGGCTGATTGAATGTGTGATTGAATTGGTTGGATTGATTGAGTGCTAGTGTGGTTGGTGCTTGAGTGATTGTGATATGTTATTAGACTATTAATATTGCATTGTCACGTTTAACTAACGTGCAGAGCATGCGTTTGATGGCGAGGTAAGTACAATGACGTGAATTTTATATGTTATGGGGTAGATTGCATGTACGACTTGTCTGGGTACGCATTGGCCTACGTGGGGTATAGGGGGTTGCTTATTGAGACTCGTTCTCACGGTTATTATATAACCATTTCAGATCCGCGACCATGAGTGACTGGAGACGCTGCAAGGGTATCTCGGAGATCAAGGACGGGTCAAGTTGCCCCATATTTTTGTGTGCCCCTCTTTTGTATAGCGAAGTAGGATATCCAACCACTACTCCGTTTTAATGTTGTGTATTTGGAATTATTGTTTTGTGCTATCCCTTCGTCATATTTTACTGTCTGGGTTGTTTTATTTCGCTTCCGCTTGCGTAGTTCGTTTGGGTCGGCGACGCGTCCTGGGATGTCGCGTTCAATACGACCGCGGAAGGGGTGTCGCGAGCCCGTTGGGGTTCGGGGCGTGACACCTAAGGTTCTAGAAGAAAAACAAGGAATCAAAAGGCAATCATATCATCTATCCAAAGTTTAGAAAGAGGAAATTTGGAAAGAAAATGCATTTAATAAATCGGATTTGAAATTAGCTGATGTCAGCAATCAGCTTAAAGATCACCAGAAGCAAATATCAGAACTTGCTGTTTTTCTATAGAAGATCACTGAATTTGATCCTGTCCAAATCTTGTTGCTATCAACAAAAGATTTCAAGTAAGGATTAGTAAAAATTAGATTGAAAGATACTATATTTGCTAAATTTCTACCTTGAGTAAGAGTATCAAAGTTTCATGTATATCCTCTAGCTTGCCTTGCAAATCTTTTGATAGATTTATCATGATTCTTGATGATACTTGCTGAATTATTTATGATTATACATGATTCATAATTATATTATTTCTTGTAAATAAAAGGAATTACATGCACTTATTGCAAGACATGGCATGTGTAATTCTTTTATATGATAGAATTATCAACATTTCCTTTTACAAATGATGCTAGCACTATATGGTATATTCTCATTGCATTTGAGATTCTTTTTGCTTGAGGAAAACCTCCTGATGTTGAAAGCAACCATTGCATGCTTTTGTGTATTTGGTTGCAAGTGTTATATTGTCAAAAATATTGATGACAATGTTGGGAGCGGAAGAACCGACAAACATAAAGTTCGAAGATAAGTTGACAGGTGCACAAGCTGATGTTAATAAAGAACGAGTGCTACTGCCTGTACCAACTGATGATATCTATCAAGATTAGCAACCTGAAGCATCAAGTTTGAAATCTGCGCATTACCAAAGGATTGAAGATACAACTCAAGTCAACCTAAAGATCAAATCCTTAGAGATATTGGCAAATGAGTACAGATTAGATCATGATTCAAAAATCAAATGTTTGTAGAGCAACGATGCAAAGATCCAAACAGGATCAACAACGTGTACCAGCTCAAGAAGGCACTTTACACATAATGTGTAAGAAGATTCAGCTTTTGAATTGATCAAGATTCACGAAGAATGTGTTCCCCTTTATCATCGAGCCTAAAACTATGCCACTGCACATTGATTTACACTACAACATAGTGATCTCCGTGACGCTCATGCTGTCGCCAGTGCTTTGTTGTTCATGATCCTGACGATTCCTTCTTGTGCAAAGACAGGCAAAGAGCAAACAACCCGTGGAAGTGGTGATGGTGGAAGCATAGAGTGCCCAGAAGCTGTTGAGGCCCAACTTCCGTGTCTCGTTGGTGAAGTTCCTCATCGTACACTCAAGAGAGAACCACTTGTCCTCTAATCTTTTCATCTCACGGCTCTCTGAAAGCTCCAAAATGGCCCTAGAGAAATTTGCAGCCAGTGGAGAGTCATTTGGGAACACCTGCACATGGGCAGGAAAGGAGAGTTTAGTGACAAGGAAGAGCAATTGCATAACCACTAGTAGCTAACTAAAGTTCGTCCAATTCCTTTCTTTTTTGTCTTTTTGGCTATAGTAACCCAAGGGAATTTTGGTGGTCAAATATCATTCCTGGTGCTCTCACTTGGGGATTTGGATGCGTCCTGCTTCTGTAGCGGCAAGTAATTTGGTGCCACTTTATCAATACCTGATTCGCAAGCTAATACTCAAGTAAGTGTAATTTGGATAAAAACCGAGGGGGTTCATCCTCGAGTTTCGATTCCCTCTACACCATTTTTGTGAATTCAACTCGAAACACGTGGATCGAATCGTTCCCTAAAAGGAATATTCAAGTGCTAAGTGGGATTCTGTTTATATATCAGTCCACACCCTATGTCATACTCTGTTGGGATTTAGTGTGATATTTTAGTTCTCAAGCCCCCTTTTCTTTTAAACCTAGCCTAAAGAGATGCAAAACACAAACTCGGGATGCTATTAACACTCTAAACAATAAAGCTCACATAGATTAACTGGATTATACTCACAAAGGCTAAACCGCCAAATCCGTAGCCATCACCAATGGTCAAATATCCATCGCAATACTGAGCGAAGAAGGGTCTCACGTATGGGTACTCCAGAAAAAGAGCGGCGATGTTGCCTTTTCTGAATTCTTCTCCATAGTTCCAAGCGTCTCTTATGGGGACGATGACATCATTCGAGAAGTCCAACGTGTTATTCAAATAGCCACAAACGAAACCATCGGCGTCACAACCCACTCTTGCTTTAGAAATTCTCAGCCATTCCATGGTGGTCACAGTCGATTTGAACTCCGGGATAGTGAGCATCGAGGTGAGGCCGGCCGTGTAACTCTGTGTCAAGATCAATGCTACAAAGAACCAAATCACCAGCACGATTCGGGTGAAGTTGCGATGGACTCTCTCCTCTGCAAAAGTCAGCAATACATGTGTTTTATGTCAAAAGTTTGGGCCAAATAGAGTGCATGGACTATAATCACCAGAGGGATGTTACTTACTATGAGCAAAGAAGAGAGAGGAGAAAGTGAACCAAAGAGAAGTTGAGAGCTGATTCATCCAAGGTCCTCCGAATTCTGGATTGATCGGATGCTCCAAGAACCAAACTACCAACATTGTGTATATAAGGATGCCTCCAGAGGCAACCCACATTGTTGGAGTGAAAGGCTCCATGAAGATCAATGCCTTGTCTCTGTCCGGTTTTGCTGGGACTATCACTGAAAGGCCTGATCCCATGAACGGTTGTGTGAACTCAACATACTGTGAGCGACTGGCCCGAATAGTTATGTCACCGACCGCAGCGTTGTAGGTCTTCCATCAATGTCATAATACGGAACAACATCAAAGCAATCCACTTTAGAAATTGGTACCGAAATTGCACCATCGAAGCAGAACATTAGTATCAACAGGATGTGAGACTTTGACGGTCTATTAATGCAAAGTGATACAATCTTGTGAGTGAAAATTGATATCTATGTAAAATGAACTTGTTGCTTGGTTTAGTTTATTCAGGCTCTGATGGTTTATGTATCAGAGAAAGTAATAGTTGATATTCTATAATGCAATAATGCAATAATCATGGACTAACAGAGATGATGTGGTACCGTACCTTATCATGAACTTTGTTCACCAACTCGTCATATGTTCCGTCGTGACTGACAAAAACATAATTAAAATCAGCAGGAACAGCCTTCTCGAAAACATCTATGCAAAAGCCGATGTACTTTTCTTTATTGGTTGTGCTGTTCACTTCCTTCTTCACAAACTTATCAAAGGGAGTTTTACGGGGAACTCCGATAACGAATTGCGACTCACTAGAAGTCTGTCCTTCTTGGGTCTTCAATACGTCTGAAATTGCGACCGCGTTTCTTCTTGAACTTTGTTTCGGTACAAAGCTTCTCGAGATGCCGAAATCGGGAGACCAAAGCTTAAGCTCTCTATATTCATTTCCATTAACGCTCACAAGTTGGAATCTGGGTCGATGTGCCAACTGGCCTTTCTCAAATTGTATTGCCCCGCTCAAACCCATGAGTCTAGTGCGCGATATTCTATCAAGCAAAAACTCAGGCATAATATCATGGCTCGGCACTGCATCTATGGCATTTTTAATGGTCTTAATGCAATCGTATGCTCGAACAGCATCGATTCCTGGCTCGAAATTGAAGTTCTCTCCATACTTGTGATGGAACGTATTCAAGAATTTGGATCTGAATTCTCTATATGCCTGGTTTTGGGGACGGTAGGTGATTACTCCTATCACGCCTTCAACGGTCGAGAAGTTTCCTGAATGCTCTACTGAAGTTAAGAGATTGGTGAAGGGTTTTTCAGCGAAGATCCAAATTGAATCTTCGTAGAAGAGTCCCATGATCTTTGCTTCTTTGAGAAAATATGCGCTTCCCTGCGATGACATTCCTAAAACAATAAAGATCGGAGATACCTTTCCCTTCAGCTTCATTAATTTCTCTTCCAAAGACACTTCTGCTCTGGTCGGAGATGAAAATGCTTGAAGAATCAGCTGGTCCTCTATTGCCGAGCCGATTTTTCCAAGCTCCTCCAACAAAGAATTTAACAGCATGGAGTACGTAGTATCGTATGCCTCCGCCTCATATATTATTGATACTCTTTGTCTGTTATAAAAACTAACTATATCTACAATGCATTTAATTTGGTCGGATTCATCGGTACTCATTCGAAACAGTGAAGGCCATAGAGTTTCCGGCATCAATGGCGGGGTCACGTGGTCTCTCGCAAAGGATATGACTGGCACCTGAGATTGATTAGCAATTTCGGCTACTAAAGTTGCACCCTCCCATGTTTCCAAGCCGATAATAACTTGCACATTCTTCCTTCTGATCAGCTTTTCAGCTGTTAAAAGAATAAAAAGGGAAATTAATCCATTGTAACTTCAGTATTCAAGGCAATCTTCTTTGCCAATTTCTTCTATTGATATCGCTTATTTACCCCAATTAATTGGGAAGAGACTGTTGCAGCTATCCGTTCATTATGGGAGACACATGTTTACAAGGAAGAACATCAATATGCTGGTGTTATCACAACCGTGCGTGCAAAAGCTGAATCTCTCGGTTATGGATCCACAACGTAAATCGACTACTATTCGGTCTATATGGATTATTAGCGAAAACCCATTTTTTGCATGGAATATCGATCGAGATAATCATGTAATTGGAACTAAGATTTGACCAAGAAAAAAATTGGAATTAAGAAATAGTTACTAGTTTTTCTGCAAGAAATTGTAAATGAATCGAGCAGTTTATGTTGAAATAGTTTGTTATCATAAAAGATGTGACTCTTAATTAAGAGAAGATGTGACTCTTAGTTATGAAAAGAGGTGACTTTTCATTCTAAAAAGAGGTTATCGGTGGTTATAAAAGAAAGTTATTCTTAACATGAAGAGTGGTCATAGTTAAGGATAATGTACCTATTCCCAAGAATTGTGTTGATTGGTTGTCTATGAATAGAGATCAAATCGCTCATTATTTATTATAACCACAACGGTTTATAATTACAATTTCTTCAGAACCCTCTTTTCTTCTCTTTTTATACACAAGTTAAATCCATTTGGACGAATAAAAAATCATGGCCTATGAAACAGGACCGTTGCATGCAATTTCGGATTGATTTCTGTGCAGCTTTGGTGTATATCATGGAGGTATATTTGTTCTAAACCCGGTAGCAACAATAGTGAGGGCAAATAATACCTTAAGAACAGTGATCGTCATCACGCATCAAAGTATCAAGGATCTATTACTACTTCTCTATCTTCATCAGCAATCAAATTTCCCCAACAGTTCATCCGTAACGTTTTTAGTGAATGATTTAACATAATCATTTGGTATCTTAAATACACAACTGCATTCTGTGGGGGTCTCATTGCGTAGCAATATTACTAATTGTACAACTTTTAGTAAACATTCAGCACATGGAGAAAATTTGAGAAAAAAAATAACAATAGGTATTTAATCTCAAAGCAGACTTGGGGTGGTTTTTCATTACTGCATGCGGCAACTAAAATGTTTCCAACAAACAAAGCAGAAATTATTGCAGGCTGCAGTTACCAAATTGAGGAAGGGCAATGAATGACTAACCGGCCAAAATTGATCGAAGGGCCTTTGCGTGTGAGTTTACGTAATGTGGCTTTATGTAATGACTTCCCGATGATGAGATGCTGTTCACGTCTTGGCATGCTATTTCGATTGCCATACGCATTTGGTCACCGAGACGGGAATCCAAATCAAGAATCACGCCCACTTCGAAAGCTTTCCTCTCATCTATGGCTTTGGTGGCTGCACTGGAGTAGTTCGGGACTAGGAGCGGCGAGAGCAAGAGAAGCAGCTTCAAAATGGACAAAATGTGTCTTCTACTTCTGCTAAACGAGCTTCGGTGAAACCCCATCTCGAAAACCTTAAAAACTCCTCAGAAACTGAAACAAGTGTTGAACTATATTGCTTTGGCAAATAATTGCTTTGTTTGTCATATACGGGACTCAATTCCACCAATTAAATTTATAGTGGAAAGAGAGAGAAGAGAAAGAGAGGTACGCGCAAGTGTGAAGAGAGAAACAAGTGTTGAACTATATTGCTTTGGCAAATAATTGCTTTGTTTGTCATATACGGGACACAATTCCACCAAATTTATTGTGGAAAGAGAGAGAAGAGAAAGAGAGGTACGCGCAAGTGTGAAGGAAGTGATTTTCCAAGAAAATAAGGATAGAAAAATGGTTGCATGCAAATTTTTGGGGAAAAGTGTTTAAAAAGTCGTAAACCTCATTTATGCCAATTTAGTCATAAACCTTTTGATTTAGTGTCAATGCAGTTCTTCTGGCTAATTTTGGCCAGATAATTACTGATGTGGACACCGATCAGTTTACGTGACACCGCCAGCGCTGACATGGAGAATTTTTAATACTAATTTTAATATTGTTTTTGAATTTTTCTGATTTTATTTATTTATTTTATTTTTTCCTTTCTTCTTCGTTTTGCTGGTGACTGGCCACCAGCTATGGCTAGGTGGGCTAGCCTCGCCTGGGCCAGGGTCATCGTCGCCCATCAAAGGCGAGGCCCGGCCAGGCGAGGGCAAGCCTTGCCTAGGTGGGGGCTCCCCTCACCCAAGCCAGGGTAGCCTTGCCATATTTGGCGAGGGGAGCCCTTTCCCAACCAAGACCTGACGAGGGGAGCCCACACCAGGCCTTGCCCTCGCCCAGCCAGGCCTCGCCTGTGGCGGGTGATGGCAACCCTCACCCAGGCGAGGCCACCGGCTAGTCACCAGCAGAAGGAAGAAGCAAGAAAAAAAGAAAAAAATCAGAAAAAAAAAATTCAAAAAAATATTAAATTAATATTAAAAAAAACATTTCTACATTAGCCTTGGCGGGCCTACATCGGCAGGCGTCCACGTCAGCTATATCTGGCTAAAATTAGCTAGAAAGATTAAATTGGCACTAAGTTAAAATGTTTAGAACTAAATTGGCACAATTAAAAAGTTTAAAACTAAATTGAAACAAATACAATAAGTTTACGACTTTTTAGACACTTTTTCCCTATTTTTTGTCAAGGTGTATGTGGTGCGTAAAAATCACTGTTGATTTGGTCTTTCCATAGCTAGGGTTCGTTTTCTTCGAGAAGTCTTTCCTGAACGGAGGCGAAGAATCAATGGACACAACTCTTGTGGGCGAAACAAATTCTTCTGTAGACCAAGTCATCGCTTGTCTTGATGGCATTGGGCTCCATTGGACCCAAATTTTCAAAGGACAGACTCTTCTCATCCCCTAGGATGCTGTGAATGGTTCCAACTTTTCAGCGATATGGTATATTCCTCCTGTACTATACTAGAAGATATATAGCGACTCTTGATACTGGGATTCCAGATTCATCCCTCTTGTCTGTTCAAATCAGTAAATTTCTGATGTGGGCACGGGGTATTGTGCGTGAACCTTCTTGCAAGGGGGAGAGAGATAACGTGCTATGTGAACTTCTTGCGTTCTCAAGCACCAAACCCAAAGAAACCCCCCTCTCTCTCTCTCTCCTCCCTTCCATCTCTCTCGTGGTGCAATTAAGAACATGAACTTGTAAATTACCAATGGAGTAAGGAATTTACCAACTTCAAGTGGAATAGTAATTGAGTTATCAACTCTTTTAGAAATTTACCACTTAGCAAATGAATCGATCGCAAACTTTTTAAAGCACTTAATGATCTACTATTGGATATGAGGTGGTAACACCATTATTTCATTGTAAGTTACTAATTACTCAAAGAGCGCAGTTGTCAAATGTCAAAGCACCTAGTAATTTACTACTGGAGACGAGATTTGAGGACGGTGAAACCATTATTTCGTTTATAAGATACTACTGAATGTGGGATTGATAGAATCGTTCTTTAATCAGTAACTTATGAATTACTTACTAGTCCCACTTATAAAATATCACAACGCTGGATAATCCGCTATCGAATACTAGGTTCGATGATGGTAAGACCGTTATTTTGTTGATCAGTTTTTAATTAATTGACGGGGCCCACTGGTAAAACTTTAAAGGACTTGGTAATCTAATGCTGGATAGGGGGTGAAGAAATCGTTGTTTCATTTTTGTAAAACTATTTCATGGGGCCAATGGTAAAACTTTATAGCACCTGGTAATCTACAACTAGATGTTAAATTCAACGATGATAAAATTGCTAAAGTCGATATTTACTCGGTAACTTTTACCTGTGGATCCATTGTATTTGTACCGACGGTCGCTGAAACCATTTCTACGGTCCACACAAACTAAGAGAACGGTTTAAAAGTCAAACCAATGAAGCATCCTGCTGATCTCGCCATTGGGATAACAACATCAGGGAGGAATAAAGGACGATATGGCAAAAAAGTCCGCGTGTGAACAGAGGCGTCGTGTTCCTGAAATCTTTCACTGTTGGATTAAAATATAGTATATCTTTGCCGTTCTACATATCTCAATATGGACGGTTGTGATTTTCTTGCTTTTCGTCACCATGATGAAAGGCTCACGCGGCATGGTGACTCCTACGGACCATACGTGGAAGAAAATTTAAAAACGAACCAAAAAATATACGTACCTTCAGCATCATGCCCTAGTCTATATTACGTTGCACTAATTTTTCGTTATGAAATACTCATATCCTGACTCATGCCGTCACCATTGCTTCCTTCTTCATGAACCCGACGACTCCTCCGCGTGCAGAGACATGCCACTAGCAAACAAGCTGTGGAAGTGGCGATGGTGAAAGGATAGAGTGCCCAGAAGCTGTCGAGGCCCAGCCTCGGTGTCTTGCTGGTGTTGTGCCTCATCGTACACTCGCGAGGAAACCACTTGTCCTCCAACCTTTTAATCTCGCCGCTCTCCGAAAGCTTCAAAATTGCCTCGGAGAATGTCGCAGCCAGCGGAGAGCCTTTCGGGAACACCTGCATGCACAGAGAACAAGGCCATTTGTAACTATATGTCAGGCACAGATTCTTTCCTTTTCGCGAACAATAACCCAAAAAAGACCAACCGACCCGGGTCTTGGATCGGATCGGACCCGGTTAGGGCCCGGTCTGATGGAAGAAGACAAAATAGGGCCGGTCGACCTCGCCGATCGAACGAGCCCCGAATGCCGCTGACCCGGTCCAGACTAGGGCGGGCCTCGCCCGTGCACGGCGAGGATCGCCCTCGGGCGAGTCGGAGAGCGGCCGGTCGCTCGCCGGACGGCCTCGGCCTCGACACTTGAGGCCGAGGCAGCGCAGTGGCCGACCAAGGTGAGCAGCCATGGCAGCCACCAGCCTAGCTCCGACTGGGGCTCTTCAAGCCCAAACGACGATTGGAGCTTGGCTGGTGGACCCAGGCCAATTTTTGGCCTTTTACAGCCTCACCCCAGCCACCACTCAGCCAGGAATGGCCTCATGTTGACCAAATTGACAGGATCCTCCTATTTTGGTAGGAGAAAATTATAGGATATTCTCCTCGATTTGGTGTTCTTTCCTTGTTCAATTGTTACTCTGTACATTCCCCTGTAATTCTGGAAACAATTATGTACCTCTATCTATCAAAAAGGCAGTCCCTCTCTCAAAGAATTTATAACAAAAGAAACTTTGAGAGAGGATTCCGAGGACGTAGGCTTACTTAGCCGAACCTCGTTAAATTGTGTTTGCGTTCTTTGTCTCTAAATTTATCATGGTATCGAGCAGGTTCAAGCCTAACCTTGTTATTGTTTGTTTCGACGATTTTTCTAGTTACCTTGTTCTTTGTGTTGTCACCATGGGAGAACGGGATGCCGGCAAGAAATTGCCGATGCAACTCCTTCTACCAAAGGTCTTCTACAAGAATCTCACAACCAACGTCTCACGAACATGCTTCGAAGGCGCCCAAGCGAGGGCGAACCTCGCCGCCCGACGCCGGGCGAGGCCGCCTCGCCGGATCCTGGCGAGGGCCGCCCTCGCTCGACGCCGAGGGCCCCCTCGCCGGATCCGGCAGAAGACGCCGGCGAGCCCCCTCACGGAAGGAAAAAAAAAAAAAAAAAAAGAAAAAGCAGAAAAGACGAAAATGCCCATGGACTAAATACATTGGGGTAAATGTGTCACAAAAAGCAAAGTTCGGGATTTTTGGTGTCACAAAAAAAAGTTCGGGGTAAATGTGTCACGGAAGGCAAAGTTTGGGGTTTTTGGTGGTTTTTTCCCTTACATTTTTGTAAAACTATTTCATGGGGCCAATGGTAAAACTTTATAGCACCTGGTAATCTACAACTAGATGTTAAATTCAACGATGATAAAATTGCTAAAGTCGATATTTACTCGGTAACTTTTACCTGTGGATCCATTGTATTTGTACCGACGGTCGCTGAAACCATTTCTACGGTCCACACAAACTAAGAGAACGGTTTAAAAGTCAAACCAATGAAGCATCCTGCTGATCTCGCCATTGGGATAACAACATCAGGGGAGGAATAAAGGACGATATGGCAAAAAAGTCCGCGTGTGAACAGAGGCGTCGTGTTCCTGAAATCTTTCACTGTTGGATTAAAATATAGTATATCTTTGCCGTTCTACATATCTCAATATGGACGGTTGTGATTTTCTTGCTTTTCGTCACCATGATGAAAGGCTCACGCGGCATGGTGACTCCTACGGACCATACGTGGAAGAAAATTTTAAAACGAACCAAAAAATATACGTACCTTCAGCATCATGCCCTAGTCTATATTACGTTGCACTAATTTTTCGTTATGAAATACTCATATCCTGACTCATGCCGTCACCATTGCTTCCTTCTTCATGAACCCGACGACTCCTCCGCGTGCAGAGACATGCCACTAGCAAACAAGCTGTGGAAGTGGCGATGGTGAAAGCGTAGAGTGCCCAGAAGCTGTCGAGGCCCAGCCTCGGTGTCTTGCTGGTGTTGTGCCTCATCGTACACTCGCGAGGAAACCACTTGTCCTCTAACCTTTTAATCTCGCCGCTCTCCGAAAGCTTC